TCAAATATCACTCGTATTGTTAATCATTAATTGCACCGCTTCCCGTGTGATTACCTATACTAACGCCCGCGTATCGTCCAACAATATTGGTCGAACAATGTTGGGGAATGTTAGATAACAATTTTGTAACAAAGTCAAACCTGATCCAGCATCTTCCAACATGACCCAACACTGTCAAACAGACCCAATAATATAACATCTAACAATATAGACCAACATGTTGGAGTGGTCTGAACAGGCACATTACATCCATAAAAATTGCTATAATATTAACATTCATGGCTCGTGAAAAATATGTAACCTAACACGGCAATTTTATTTATCGTCCCTAATGTGGAAGTTGTAATATTTTGTATTTGTAGCTTATTCCATGCTATTACTGCATTTGTAGTGTATTTATATAGCTGTTAATATAACGGGGGTACAATAATTAGTTTGCACTGCTGCATGTGGGAGCTCCCTGTCATAAATTATAGATTATTTCCAGCTTAACCTAATACAAAATACAGTAAGTATTTGATTATTTGTATAAAAGATAAATAAAATCCTTTGAAAAAATTCGTTTTCTCAAGCGGAATTTAAACCTTAGTGGCCAGAGGGGCCAGTCGTCCTAATGAGCTATCAAGCTAATAGGGATTGGAAGCCAGTTTTTCAAAAGTTTTAAAATTACGTAACTGTGACTTAAGTGACTATTGATCATTTCTTCGGTTCAATAGAATTTTGGGCTGCTTCTGTTTACGGTACTTGCTGAGTGACGAATCATCTGGACTTCTGTGTAGTAATAGAGAGTTTGGCAAATACGAGGGCAACGGCAATATGGTCATCAACAATAGCATTAATCCTCAAAAACAAAGGCAAATGTAAATTACATGGCCTTAAGCGTTGTGCAATGCCGTAGTTGTTGAAACTAGTACGTGATTTGCATCATTTTCACGGTGCACGACAATGGCAACAGTTAATTCGTTCGATGTTATTCGATGTGTTTTATTTGAATTCGCGGACTATTTTCACTTATTAAGGGTACGTTTGAAAGAAACAGGAATACTTAAAGAGGCAAATTAAGTGTAGTAACGTATACTTTGCCTCAAATACAATAATATAAGCAATTATATTTCCCCCGTTGCCGTTGTCGTTCTAGGTTGCCAAACTTTCTAATACTGTGGCAACGGAAGTTATTAGCTTTTGTAAAAAATAGGTACGTATTGCGTACATGTGGCCAGCCTATAGCTAATTTCGTTCACCTTGGCGAAATTACTGATGCGAGACAAACTGAATATCCCAGAAGTAGAACTGTTTCAAGCTGTTTTGTAAATGAATGATTTCCAATGCTCGTGCAAGAATTTGAAACCAACAGGTCTGTTATTGACAAGGCTATCTATGTGTTTCGATTTTTTGGCATCACCCAGGCAGAGTTTATTCAAAATGTTTCTAAATCTGGTTTGCTTACTGTAGAAGAGATGATTCCTATTCACGAGAAATTTCTTGGAATTGATTCGCCTGCATTGAAATGGAAGCTATCGAACAGGAAACCAGGAAATATCGACAGGTTTTCCAGATTTTCTAGAAAGGCAAAGGATCCTCTGAACACGTGGGGATATCATGGCACGCCAGATTGCCTCTGTTTTTCTGTTAATAAAGAGGTGTCCTTGCTTGGTGTTCGCTTGTTTGGAGACCAAAATGAGAGTAAGTATCATGTCACTTTTGAAGTTAAAGAGGCCAAAGTAACCGGAAGTTATATATCTGAACGCAATCAAGACGACATTCCTGGTTTTGATGTAATGTTAAACGAACCCGTTATCCTGAAGCAGAACGAAGTTGTTACTCTTTCTGCAACAATGAAAGGGCCTAGATCGTATTATGGTAAAAATGGATCACCTTCAGTTACACTCGAGGGGGTCACTGCGACATTTGGTGACTCCCCGTCCACAAACAATGGAACTTCTCCAGATCGTGGACAATTTGATGAAATAATACTTGACATTTGAGTTTATATATGGGTTTATGTATAATGTAATGTAGGCTTGAAGTGTTAGTTTTATGTATCTCACATATCGTAGATAATTCAGTGTACCATTCTCCTCTAAACTGCAAACTATGAATTCATTAAAATCAGTATCACTGTTCTAACTTTCATGGTTGTTATTGTTGACTATTGTTAATGTCGTATAATCTTGTGGAACGGTTGGTTGGCAGCCAGTGTAAGTAGTACTTTCTTGGATAGAAACCGTCATATGTTCAACAATTCAGACATGAGTGATATCAGCTTTACTTGCGAAGGTTCAGACAAGATATTCTATGCACATAAATACGTCTTGAGCACAAGTAGCGCCGTATTTCATGCCATGTTTTATGGCGGCTTAGCTGTGGAAGATTCGATTGTTCATTTGTCTGATACAAACGAAGAAAGTTTGGAGCAGTTTTTGAGATTTCTTTACACGGAGGAATGTACATTGACCGCAGACAATGTTGTTGCCACCATGTATTTGGCAAAGAAGTATATAATTCCTTCGCTCAATGTGAAATGTGTTAATTTCCTGCTGGAAAACCTAAATCCTGAAAATGTGCTGGATGTTTTGGAGGAAGCGACTCGTTTTGATGAGAAAAAATTAGAAAAACGATGTTGGAAAATTATAGAGTCTAGAACAGGCAAAGTGGTAGCTTCTGATAGTTTCAATAACACTAGTCAAACGACCTTGGCTAAATTACTGAAGCGAGACAAACTGAAAATACCAGAAGTGGAACTGTTTCAAGCTGTTTTGAAATGGATTGATTTCCAATGCTCGCGTAAGAATTTAGAAACAACAGGTGAGAACCGAAGGTCTATTATTGGCGAGGGAATCTATGATTTTCGTTTTTTTGGCATGAGCCAGATAGAGTTTATTCAACATGTTTCCAAATCTGGTTTGTTAACTTCTGGTGAGTTAGTTGCAATTTCCAATAGATATATTGGAATTGATTCGCCTGCGTTGAAATCGAACCTACCGAATAGGAAACCAGAAACTGTGGTCAGGTTTTCCAGATTTTCTAGAAAGGCAGAGGAACTGCGGGACACGTGGCTATATAGTCACACACCAGATCGCCTGTGTTTTTCTGTAAATGAAGAGGTGTCCCTGTTTGGTGTTCGTTTGTTTGGAGACCAAGATGGGAGTTAGTATGAGGTCACTTTTGAAGTCAAAGAAACCAAAGTGACCGGAAGGTATACATGTCAACGCAATCAAGACGACATTCCAGGTTTTGATGTAATGTTAAAGAAACCCGTCATCCTGAAGGATAGCGAAATTGTAACTCTTTCTGCCACAATAAAAGGGCCTCAGTCGTGTGGCGGTAAAAATGGATTACCTTCAGTTACACTCAAGGGGGTCCTTGAGTGTAACGTACAGCCTTTAAAAGGTTCTGTAAAGAACACTATCAGATCAAATTAGCTAGGTCAACTGAACTAAACATTCAAAGATTATATTAGGAACTTTATTTTTTTAATTAATTCTAGATATATTTGTCGATAGGTATAGTTTCAATATTGTGTGATTGTAATGTATGTCAGTTAATGTCCGTAATGTCTGCATGTAAATATTGTACTCATGTAATTTTAGAGGACCAGATTGGAAACAAGCGGTAGCTTTATCTGTTAATCCTCGTTAAACAAAGTGTTATTATTATTATTATACAAATTCACCTCAGTTTTTCACAATATTCCCAAAAATTTCACACGTTCCACAATTTCAGCATTCAGGGGGCTCCTCTGGAAAAATTGGGCCCCCTTCCTGGCTTTTCTTTGGGGCTGTCACACCATCCATCCCCCCCCCCCCCAGTCGGCATAGCCCTGTATTCGTTCTGAAGGAAGGCAGAAGAACGAAGACGGGATATGGATTATGGATTCACTATGTCTCGCTACTAAGTACTAATCTAGTTTAATATCCAATAAACACCGTCAATACAGTTTATTTATAGCAATTTTGCTGTAGGTACCTCAAACTTAAAGAGTGCACTCTTTATCATCGTCCGTTTTACGTGCATGTTTACAAACTGCAAAATAAAATAAAATATGCGCATGAATTTATCCTTAAAAAAACGAGCTGAGTTTATGAAAGTCATTAGACTTCGAGCGAGTTCATTTCGGTCAAGGGAAACAAAATTAGTTCGAGATACTGAGACAGCCAAGAGTTCGTGTTAATCCAGTTCAAGATAAGCGAGTGGAAATTATTGAAATAGTATATGGCAAAGTCTAATGGTTTTGCGTTTGATACATACAGCGGCAGTTCGAGATAAGCGACTTCGACACAGCGGGGTTCAACCTGCAACCATACAGTATTTTCTGCTAAGTATGAAAATTATACATGTGAAAAAAATATGCTTCGCTTTCGATTATTCTACGTTCTGCATTCAAGCTATTTCGGCCAAGAGAATCAAAATTAGTTCAAGATAGAGAAGAGTTCGAGTTATCTCAATTCAAGATAAGCGAGTGGAAATAATTGAAACAGTTTATGGCAAAGTCCAATGTGTTTGCGTTCGACAAATACAACACTTACAACGGTAGTTCGAAATAAGCGAGTTCGACACAGCGGGGTTCAACCATACAATATTTTCTGCTACGTATGAAAATTATACATGTGAAAAAAATATGCTTCGCTTTCGATTATTCTACGTTCTGCATTCAAGCTATTTCGGTCAAGAGAAGCAAAATTAGTTCAAGATAGAGAAGAGTTCGAGTTAACTCAATTCAAGATAAGCGAGTGGAAATAATTGAAACAGTTTATGGCAAAGTCCAATGTGTTTGCGTTCGACAAATACAACACTTACAACGGTAGTTCGAAATAAGCGAGTTCGACACAGCGGGGTTCAACCATACAATATTTTCTGCTACGTATGAAAATTATACATGTGAAAAAAATATGCTTCGCTTTCGATTATTCTACGTTCTGCATTCAAGCTATTTCGGTCAAGAGAAGCAAAATTAGTTCAAGATAGAGAAGAGTTCGAGTTAACTCAATTCAAGATAAGCGAGTGGAAATAATTGAAACAGTTTATGGCAAAGTCCAATGTGTTTGCGTTCGACAAATACAACACTTACAACGGTAGTTCGAAATAAGCGAGTTCGACACAGCGGGGTTCAACCATACAATATTTTCTGCTACGTATGAAAATTATACATGTGAAAAAAATATGCTTCGCTTTCGATTATTCTACGTTCTGCATTCAAGCTATTTCGGTCAAGAGAAGCAAAATTAGTTCAAGATAGAGAAGAGTTCGAGTTAACTCAATTCAAGATGAGCGAGTGGAAATAATTGAAACAGTTTATGGCAAAGTCCAATGGGTTTGCGTTCGACATATACAACACTTACAACGGTAGTCCGAGATAAGCGAGTTCGACACAGCGGGGTTCTACCATACATTGATACAATATTTTCTGCTACGTATGAAAATTATACATGTGAAAAAAAAAAATGCTTCGATATTCTACGTTCCGCATTCAAACTATTTCGAACAAGAGAGAAGCAAAATTAGTTCAAGATAGAGAAAATTTCGAGTTAACTTAGGCCTGTTTCAAACGTCGCGCTTCTCATGTGCCGAACGCATTAGAAACAATAGATGAGGCATTTCAGCTGATTATCTATTGTTTTTAATGCGTTCGGTACATGAGAAGCCCGACGTTTGAAACAGGCCTCAGTTCAAGCTAAACGAGTAAAAGGTATGGAAATAGTAGGGGAAACCCCACGAGAAATGTCTTTAAGTTTGAACATATAGCGGAAAGTTCGAGAACAACCGAGTTCCACACAGTGGTTTCTATTGTGCACTAGCTATTTTCAACGACGTGGGAAAATAATGCATATAAAAAAATACGCTTCGCTTTCAACTTTTGTATTTCCGCAATTGTCTTCACATCTTTCGTTCTGCACTCAAATGTTTTAAACTCCTAAATTTTCGATACTATTCAGTCTATTCCACATCAATAATCCTTGAAAATGGCCTCAAACGTGGACTGGCAGTCGACAAAGAACACTTTCTTGGAAAGAAATCGTCATATGTTCAATAATTCCGACATGAGTGATATCAAATTGGCTTGCGAATGTTCAGAAAAGACATTCTACGCACATAAATACCTCTTGGGCACAAGAAGCGCCGTCTTCCGTGCCATGTTTTATGGCGGCACAGCTGAGAACGGTCCGATTGTCCGATTGCCTGATACAAATGAGAAAAGTTTGGAACAGTTTTTGAGGTTTCTTTACACGGAGGAATGTACATTGACCGCAGACAATGTTGTTGCCACCATGTATTTGGCAAAGAAGTATATAATTCCTTCGCTCAATGAGAAATGTGTTAATTTCCTGCTGGAAAACCTAAATCCTGAAAATGTGCTGGATGTTTTGGAGGAAGCGACTCGTTTTGATGAGAAAAAATTAGAAAAACGATGTTGGAAAATTATAGAGTCTAGAACAGGCAAAGTGGTAGCCTCTGAGAGTTTCAATGACATGAGTCAAACGACCTTGGCAATATTACTGAATCAAGACAAACTGAAAATATCAGAAGTGGAATTGTTTCAAGCTGTTTTAAAATGGATCGAATTCCAATGCTCGCGTAAGAATTTGGAACCAACACACAAGAACTGGCGGTCTATTATTGGCGAGGCTATCTATGGGTTTCGATTTTTTGGCATGAACCACGCAGAGTTTATTCAACATGTTTCCAAATCTGGTTTGTTAACTGCAGAAGAGATAAATCCTATCTACGAGAAATTTCTTGGATCTGATTCGGCCGCGTTGAGATGGACACTGCCAAATAGGAAAACAGAAAATATCGTCAGGTTCTGCAGATTTCCTGAAAAGACAAATAAATTAAAGACAGGATGGGAATATGGTGGCGCAGCGGATCGCCTTCAATTTTCTGTAAATGAAAACGTGTCCTTGCTTGGTGTTCATTTGTTTGGAGAGCAAGGGAGTGAGTATCTGGTCACTTTGGAAGTCGAAGTCAAAGACAAAGGAGACAAAGACGCGAAAGGAGTCAAAGTAACGGAGCGCAGCTCGCCCAAAGGTTATACCTCTAAGCGCAACCAAGACGACGTTCCTGGTTTTGATGTAATGTTAAAGAACCCCATTCCACTGAATCCGAGTAACGTTGTAACTCTCTCAGCAACCGTAATAAGCGGGCCTGATTCGTGTAGTGGTGAAAATGGATTATCTTCAGTTACACTCGAAGGAGTCACTGTGACATTTATCGATTCTCCGTGCGCCACCAACAAAACTTGTGTAGATCACGGACAATTTCATGAAATAATACTTGCAATTTAATATGCATACTTGTTATCATTGACAATGCTGTGTTGCGCCATGTGGACAGTTTTAAACCGTGAAAACAATATTGTTATATACTGCTGTTTAGATTAATTCATTTAAACATTTAAACCCCCATTTAAACCATTCTAACATCGTTCGATGACAATTTTTTAACAAAATCAAATCTGCATGATCCAGTATCTTCCAACATGACCAAGGGTGGGTTGACTACAAAATTTTTGTAGTTCGCTATAACTACAGCTACTTCAAAAATATGTAGTCAACTACAACTGCTGCTACTTTTGAACAAAGGTAGTTCGCTACCGACTACAGCTACTGTTTAAAAAATGTAGCGAACTATTTCGCTATTTCGCTACTCTATATTTTTTAGTTTACGGTATTTGGAGCATAGTTGAGCATCCACTAACTCAGGCTGTAATATAACCTATAACAAATCGACTTACGAGTACCAACAGTAAACAAAAAGGGTCAAAGCAACATTTTTGTAAGCCCTACAGTGTTCAGGAGTGCCACTTTTCATTGCGCTAAAATAATCTTTACTGTATAAAATAATCTTTTAAGCAAACCGTGTCTTAATATCATTCTATTCTATGAACGGTTGCTAACAATTTTAAAAAGTAGCGAATAGCGATTTGCTGTTTGATAAGTAGTCAACTATTTGGCTACTTTAGGCAAAATGTAGTTCGCTATAACTACAACTACTGTTTTAAAAAGTAGTCAAAAACTACTGGCAACTTGAAAATTGTAGTTCGCTACAGTAGCGAACTACTACTACTTCGCTACTACCCACCCTTGTTTGAATTACATGAAGTAGTAGGCATGATATTATCGAGAAAAACATCGAAATCAACATAATTTTCATCGCGATGAAACCTGGATGAAACTATGCGATACATAGGGTGATGGCAAGGTATTTTAAATAAACACAATCGCACTTTTCTGTCTCCTGTGCCAAAGGTGATTTTTTTCCTTCACATCCCATGTTATTTATATGGACTGCGATTCACCTTTCGTGTTATAAACTAAGTTCAAACCTCTGCTTTTGTCGCATTTCATGTATACAATCAATATTTTCAGTTGTTTTAAAAAGTTCTTCAAGACTTACAGCATATTTTATATTTGTGTCCAAGGGAAGAAAAAGAGTTTAAAATCCGCCGCATGCAGCAAAGCAATTACTATAGTTTCGGAATTGAGAAGAATGAGGACGAGGGAAATGAAAACAATTGACGAATTCTCAGAGATGGCGGTTGACATCAGTCACTATACTGTCGAGGCAAAAACCTGAGAAAATCTATTTGCATGCAGCCGAGATTTTTTTATCATTTATAGACCGGATAGAGGGGGATTCGGCGGAATATTACCTAAAGTGATGATATTTTCCGAGTGGCTTTGCCCCGAGGAAAATATCATCACTGAGGGTAATTTTCCGTCGATTCCCCCAGCGGAAGGTCTATAAATGATATATTATACCGAAAATTAAGGAACCCACCAAGTTCAGAATAGACTTTAAAACTTGAAGCAAATATAATTTTAAATTTCTTATAAGTATAACTGAGTTTTTGACGTCTCTTTAAAATATTTGATCATGTATCCTTTGGATCGTTGGGAGTAATATACGTCTTGAAAATCTTTGGTTAACTTAATAAATCTTTTGTACGAAAATTCAAACAACAGTTCGCGAACGTCATTTGTTTCAGAGCGTGATGCCCACGCGTCACGCGCTGGCGTGAGATACTATAATATTCCACGGTGGATCTGCCGTGGGATATTTACAATGGAGAACAGAACAGCAGAATTGTATGTGAGTATTTGTATGTACAGTGATATTGCGACGATACTACGACATCTAGATCTATCTCTCACAATCCACAAAGCGAACCAAGAAGTACTTATTGTGTTGAGAACATCATAAACTGTGCAATTTAGTTCTATACGATGTCAACAGCTACACATCAAACTCAATCATCAAATATAAATCGATATCCTGAACTAAAACTATCGTGGTCTGGTGATTATGAATCGCTGAAATTGTTTGTTGATAGCGAACTAAATTTCGAAGGAACTTGGTCATCAATCGGTGGGGAGAAAAAGTTGTTTAAAAGCAAAAATGTTGATATCCATTGGTGGGCTAAAAAGAAGTTTCTTAGGATAGAGGGAAAACAGGCAAGTGAAGTTAAACGTTCAATTCTGATGTTGATTTTGCATGACATTGGTTCTGACGACCATAATATTCGCTCGTCTCATAACATGTGTAAATGCCCTGAAGTCAGTTCTGATATCGAAGGCGTTAAATTGGATGTCATTATCTTGGAATCAACAGTGAAACAACAGGCAAATACGCTTGTTAGTTTGCAGGAAACCTTGGCGAAATTAGAAGCATCAACAACCGATGCAAAATCTATACCGTTGGATCAGCTAAGTAAATCTCCCAATAATACATCGGCTGAATGTGTTGTACAATGTACGAATTATAATAGCCCTATTGCGTCTGTGATTACACCTACTTGCTTGTATTTTTCGGACGAACCTGAGCAGAATAATACGGACAATATAATCGAAAAGCAGAATAATACGGACAGTATAGTCGAAACCTTAGTAGGAAAGTATTTGCCTAGTCATTCCAAGTCAAATGTTAAGAGTTGTTCATATAATACACCAATTTTAAAGAACCCATGTCATGATCTGCACCACAATCCACAAGGCATTCAGGATCAATTAAATACTAGCCAAAGAATTGAGAAGGAATGTGTGGAGATTTGTCAATCTAATACTAACAAAAGATACTTACACTACCATGGCCAACATAATGAATGTAGTCCCCATTGTCTAGATCTCACAGTAATTAATCCCAGTAATAGTGGAATTATTACAGATGATACAACTCCTATGAATAATTATCAATCTATTCCAACCCGCATCACCCAGCGAAAACCATCTAGGAAACATAATAAACGTAACAAAAATTCGGGAAAGGATTTTCGTGCACGTACAATGTTGAGAGACAAAATGAACTTTTACAAATATTATTATTAGACGAGGCCGGGGGTAAATCGTCTTCCGGGATGGAAAGTGAATTGGAAAGCTTACTTGAACATTGTTTATATAATAATAACCAGGAAAATGTCAACCCAAACCTCATCTGTCGTAAGAGAATCAAGTCAAGCAATTTAATTCATGTATCTGTGAACCCCGAAGTTAATAGTAAAACCGTGTCTTGTTCGTCGCATTTTGTACCTGCTATATTATTGTCAAACACTATGTCGCTAGCCCCGAAAATCGATGAAATTGCTGTATTTCTTACTTCGAATCATATAGATATTGCCTTTTTCAGCGAAACATGGTTAAAAGAATCCGTTCCAGATGAAGCTATTAATATTACAAATTACCAATTATTCAGGCGTGATCGTCAACACAAATCCCATGGTGGGGTTTGTTTTTATATTAACAATACCATTTCTTGCAACCGCCTAACGGAGTTAGATAGTGATAATCACGAAGTATTGTGGCTAGCTTTACAACCAAAACGACTCCCACGAAATTACTCAAATATGATAATAGCTGTTGTGTACCACCCTCCAGATGCCGATTGTACAAGTATGCGTGACTATGTCCAATCTTCATTAGAATATATTGAATCTTCAATTCCTAACCCTGCAATCATTATTGCTGGTGATTTCAACAAATTGGACTTACAGGCTACTGTTAAACCTTTTCAACTAAAACCAGTAATTGATTTTCCCACCAGAGGTGCCAATATTCTTGACCAAATTTATACCAATCTATTTGAATACTATTCACCTCCTACTAGTGCTCCTCCATTTGGCTTATCAGACCATCTAACAATTGCCATGTGTCCTGGAACGAGGAAAAGATCGCACGAACCACAATCGCGTATTGTTAAAACAAGAGACAAGCGACCCAGTAATATTAGAAGTCTTGGTCGATTTCTCCAGGAAATTCCATGGGACATTTTATCGTCCATACCCTCAAATGATCAAAAACTATACTTTTTAACTAGCATTATAAACTATGGTTTGAACTTAATTATGCCTGAACGTTCAATAAAAGTCCACCCTAATGATCGACCATGGGTTAATAGCAATCTGAAATCACTGATAAATCGTCGACAAAAAGCCTTTGCATCTGGTAATGTCACTCTTTTTAAAATGTTACGTAATAAAGTTAATCGTGAACGAAAACGTTGTCGTAAGAGCTATTATCAATCTAAAGTTCATAATTTACGTAACACTAACCCCCGAGATTGGTGGCGGGAAGTGAAGCAGTTGTGTGGCACATCTAAACTAAACAACAAAAGTGTAAAAGACCGCCTCCATCAAGATTTATGGCAGGAGACAGACATAAACCTCAGTAATAAAATTAACAATGTTTTTATAAATGTGATACAGAACTATGTTCCATTATCTGAAGATACGGCTGTAATTGTACACAACGATGAAACGCCTATTATTGTGACCGAGTCAACTATAGCTAGAAAATTGCAAGAAATTAATACATCGCGTTCCAGTGGCCCTGACGGTATTTCCAATTGGGTTTTAAAAACCTATTCGGATATTCTCGCCTCACCAGTTGCAAATATAATCAATTCTTCCTTTCAAAGTTGTAAAGTCCCTCAAATTTGGAAGCTGGCCGATGTGGTCCCCTTACCAAAAACATCTACTGTCAAAGACTTGGAAAGGGAATTACGACCTATTTCCTTAACTTCCACCCTATCAAAGATAGCGGAACGTCTTGTAATCGAAAGAGAAGTAAAACCAACTTTGTTAAAGGTTGTTGATCCCCAACAATTTGGCTTTATTCCAAATTCTTCCACTGTACTTGCCTTGATATCGATGCTCCATTGTTGGTTGAGTGCAACAGATGGAAGTGGTTCATCTGTTCGCACTGTATTTCTTGACTATAAAAAAGCATTTGACATGGTGGATCACACCACATTAGTTGCGAAATTATTCAGCCTTGGTATTAAGCCCTGTGTG